AAGAATTTGGAATTAAATAGTATCTTAAGTCTAAAATCTGAGCGGCCATACACCCACCATACAGAGTTAAATATATATTATAATTATAACTGATTCTTCCTACTTGCTTTCTGAATGAACTCCCCCATTCCCCCTCACGAGTTACAAGTTACAATAAACTTTCACCCTTTCTTGATAAACCCCCTACCCCATTTCAAAGGGCCATGTACCCATCCACGGTTTAAGACAATAACATACTTTCTGATTGACATCTACCCCCTTTAGATTTTGGATGAGCCCCCACCCCTCACCCACTTCAACTGTTTTCACTGAATCTTAAAATATGTTCAAATGGTTAACCCAGTGGGCCTTATGATTGTACATAAAATGTATCTTTACAAAACAATATTACTGAAACAAATGAAGGTAAAGATCAAAGGTTTCAGATAATAACTGATACTTCCTACATACTTTTTGATTGAAATCTACCCCCTTTTACATTATTAAGAAACTGCATTATACTAACAATCATCATTCCAGATGACCCCCCCCCCCCTCCTCACAGGCCTGTTAAGAATTACTTACATTATTAAGAAACTGCATTATACCATGGACCTAATTAGAGAAGGACATGAAACGCTTAGCTAGATCAAAGGATAATCGGCTTAACGTGAGCTCTTCGCGAAACCATGTGCGTTCGGATCACGTGACCTCCCCTGACCTCCCGTACAGGTAGCGAGCATATCGCAGTTGTCGATGACTTTTTGTGTCATTTGGGCAGGTAGTTCGCGATAACGTGAGTCAATCCTTCGGGTGAATGGGACAATAAACTTATAGAGATTAAGTATAAGTACAATTTGTTCTGTCAATTTGAAAACTTAGTGAGAATTTGTTTGTTCATGGAGGAATTCAAAATGCCCTATGTGGTAAAGGCAATCTTGTTTGTTGCCGTAAAATGAGCATTCAAAATTGCACAACTGTAGTGTAGTATGCTTGTTTTCAGCTATGAACCGATTGCAAAATATTTCTAGTATCAAATTTTTCTCTCTATGTGAGAAATTAGCCTGAGACGCGGCAATAATGAAACCTTCAATTATACCATGAACCTAATTAGAACTAATCTGTTTATTATGTCCATGCTTACATTAGCACTGGCGGGAAATAGTCTAGGTGACTGGTGCAAAAATTGCTCAAAAGGTGGAAAAAGCATGAAACTTGGCACAAATGTTCTTTGGACTATGCTGATCATTTTCAAGGGCAGTGCCCAAAATTTCAAAGCGTTGCTTAGCAACCGTTGCTAAGGAAGTGATTTACCTTAGTAACAAGCTAATTGGACCTTTCTTGTTCAGTTTAAATGATTTAAAAAGGCTTTTAATAATGTTTAAAGCCATCACTATACTATTTTAAGACATTAAAAACCCAAGTAAACCATTGCAACAGTTGCTAGGCAGCATATTACCCTAGCAACAAGTATTTAATAGTATATATTTAATAATATATATTTTATAATATATATACAGATATTCTGTAGCATTTTACAAACCCTCCAGTTCCTTCCTATCTTTCTGTTCTCATTCTAAATATACTAACATGTTTCTTAATTATTAAGATAGGTACATAAATAGTGTATGCTTGCACAAACCCAAATACAAATATCTCTGGAGATCTATCAATGACCACACCTAAATTATCTTTAACAATTTTTACATGTGGACAATCCCAAAAAACGTACAGAATATTTTCCCTAGCAGTACTGCAAAATTCTCAAATTCATAAGATAAGCATAAGTATTGAATATTCTATGATTTATTCTGAATTGTAGCAACTTCCTTTTCTTGTGGTCTGTTTCTTAAATGTTAGTTCCCAATTATCAGTACTCAAGGTTTTTTAAAAATATGTCTGCCATTAACCTACACCTTTATCTGGACATATTATATGGCTTTGGAGGATTTTTTGCAAAAAAAAAAAAAAAATATCTGGATGCTGAAATTGTTCATCAGAAGCTAAATATTCTGTAATCCATGAGGGTACATTTCTGTCCCTACAGGGCATGAGCCTGTCATGGTTAATTACAAAAATTGCATTTTTTTAGCTTCACTCGATACAGATAGCCAGATAATTTCTTTACAATGATGGCGGGTCCTTTCCATGGTGAACACAATTTTCGTGATTTGCCTTTAGTTGTTGCTGTATCCAAAACATAAACCAAATTCTTTTCAGCATAAGGTCTAAGCAGGATTTTAAGGTCATAGTCACGTTTCACACGTTTCATGCGTTGTTTTTAAATTGGCTCTTGCTGTAATATGAGCTAATTTCATTTTTTGTACTAACTTTGAAATGTATTCACCATAGTCAGTTTCTTTTGATTTCAGATTTGGGAACATAATTTGGGCTGGAGTATTGACCTCCCTCCCAAGCATGAGCATATTAGGGGTATACCCCGTACTTCTATTTACAGAAGCACGCAACGCGCCTGCAATTTGCTGGACATATTTATCCCATTCACCCTAATTTTTACCCAAAAAACACCGTACGGCATCCATCAGGGTACGATTGAACCTTTCAACGTGTCCATTTGCAGTCGGTCGGTACGGAGTAGTGCGTGATTTGTGTATATGTAAAGCCCTACACAAATCCCCGAACAATTGACTTTCAAAATTCCGTCCCTGATCAGAAAAAAGTTGATAGGGATAACCGAACCTAGAAAAGAAACAGTCAATTGCTGCTTTCGCGGTAACTTCAGCCGTTTGAGAAGGCAATTACCGACTTTGTGAATTCATCAACCATGACCAAACAATGCTCATTACCTTTTGATGTTTTAGGTAGCGGTCCCATGAAATCAATATGAACCCGTTCCATCGGAGCACCTGCAACATATTCAGTCAGGGGGACTCTTCCGTAACACCCTTTTTTATTTTTATTACAGATGTCACAACTCAAGACATAATTGGCTATTTCTTTGCTCATATGGGGCCAGTAGAATTTTTCTTTGATTTTTGTTTTTGTTCTAGCCACTCCTTGGTGACCAGCTGAAGGGATATCATGATGTAATTTGAAAACAGATTTTTTAAATGATTCCGGGATGACTAATTTTAGATCTTTGCTTTCCTCTTCAGTTTTGAAAATAACTCCATGATGTATTTTGAATAATTCTTTATTCAACCAGTAAGTTTTGGATATTGGGCTGACCGGAAGAGTGCACCCTGATCGGGGGTATTCCCATTGTATAACCGGGAGAAAGCCGCAGGAGCATTGGTCAAGCCGAAACTCATACGGACGTGTTCGAATAATCCGTATTTCGTGATAAAAGTCGTTTTATGCCTATCCTCGGATTTAATTTTGACTTGCCAATACGCAGAATTGGCATCTAACTTCGAAAACCAGATGTTTCCCGACAGCGTGTCTTTGCCAATCTCGTAAAATGTTTAGCTCAGGGTCTTTTGCTTGCTCAGTTTTTAATATTTCCATAGAAAAAAACCAACACTGAGGAATATTCGGGTTTGAATTTGACTTCGCCTCCGGACCACACGCATTTATTTCTACATGAGATTCCTTAGGTTGCAGAGCGACATCGGTAGAGAGGGCTACAATTTTTTCTAGAATACAATAGAAAAGATGTTCCGTACCCGTTTCTCGTCCCAGATCGACTGTATTTAATGAGGATGTCAGTTCGCGTTGACTTTTTGTAGATTTACCAGTAAATTTGGATGACAATTTTTTCTTTTCTGTTAAATTGACCGCTTCGTCGACGTCACCGAAAAAACTCCCCCAGTTTTCATGGGCTCTGACGCAATAACTACATCCTCCGCAAGGTAAATTTTCAGGCTTTATTCCCGCAATATACTCGTTACACGGTGCCAAACGGTCGGGTATTCTAGACAAAGAATCAGCATTGCTATGCTTAGCTCCGGCACGATGTTGTACGATCATATTGAATTGCGAAAGGTCTTCTATCCACCTCGCGAGTTGACCTTGAGGCTCCTTAAACCTCAATAACCACGTCAGACTTGAATGATCGGTGCGAACGGTAAATATTCGGCCCAAAAATAATACCTGAATTGTCTGGTAAATCTCACGATAGCCAAAAGCTCTTTTCGCGTGGTGCAATAATTCTTTTGTTCGGGAGTTAACGCGTAGCTGCCGTAGGCGATTACTTTCTCCTCGCCGTTTTGCACTTGTATTAACTCTACACCAATCGAATTGATTTGAAGCGTCGTTATCTAAAATAAACGGATCTTTTGCGTTTGGTTACGATAAGACTGGTGGTGTAGTCAATGCCGTTTTGAGCGCTTCGAAAGATTGAGCTTGATCTGGTCCCCATTCAAAGGCATGTTTACCTTTAATTTTGCTCAGAGGATGGGATATTTCCGCAAATTTTTTTATAAAAGTCCGGTGATAATGATAAAAGTCGTTTTATGCCTATCCTCGGGTTTAATTTTGACTTGCCAATACGCAGAATTGGCATCTAACTTCGAAAACCAGATGTTTCCCGACAGCGTGTCTTTGCAATCTTCCATTAATGGTAATGGATACAGTAGTTCGCTACAAATCTAAGTTGCGAGATGTTGGTTTGGACAAGTGCCCATACAAAGAGCCTGGAGACAGATGGATCAATGACCCAAAGCAGTAGCCTACTCTTGGACATGCTGACATATTTTATTATTTGATAGAATCCCCAAGTAGGTTTTTTATACATAAGTAGCAGATCTGTGAAAACCTTTAATATTTTTTATGTTGCTACAAATGCAAGCTAGCAGCTTTTATAAAGCACAGATCAACATGCTAGTTTAGGGGCGTGTAGATAAGATATTGCTGATTTCTTTAATTTTGATAGATTTAAACTATTTTATTTATTTTATTTTATTTTATTTTAATGAACTGAAAACCTTAATAACGTAAGTATTTAAGGGTGTTGTCAAAGACCAAAAGTTTCCTTTTAATTTTTGGGAATATATGTCTCTTTGCTGTGTCATATTGATTGAATTCTGATTTATATTTAATTTTTGTATCTACACCCGAGAAGCTATGAAAAACTACAAATCATTAGACGCACACAAATTCTTTGTGGCTGGATGGGTGCAAACAGTCTTTCATATCAAGACATGCATTGGAGACTTTATTATGAGAGCTGATGTCCGACCATCATGGCGAGTAACAGATGAACCCCACCAACTATGGATAGCTGTGAGGAAGGATGGTCAGGTCATTGCTGCACACTGTGACTGTATGGCAGGGTAAGCAAGTCACTTCAGCTACATCAGTGATGTTTAATGGTTAAAATATTGACCAACCTTAATAAGTACATTTTCATCAGATCAAATTTTCAGCAAGCACCCAACTGGTTAAAAGGGACAAAGATGGATCACTCCTGTTAGATCAATCTAGGTATAGGAACATAGTCTAATTTTCACATCTGTTCATATCGAAAAGCCTTGGTTAAAAAATGAGAGTCATTCTTGTATGTTGTTAGCCTGTAAAATTGCTCCTAGTGCTCTTGCATGTCACACTTAATCCATGTCATTTATGCTTTTGTAACATATCCATTTCAGATTAGGTGAAAGTTGTTCCCATGTGGGGGCATTGCTTTACAAGATAGAGGCAGCCGTTAGACTTGGATATACAACATCAGCATGCACAGATGAACCCTGTGTCTGGAATGAGTGCTTTGTGAAGAATGTTGAGCCTGCTCCCATTGCTGAAATTAACTTCTACAGTGCCACAGCAAAAGAAAAGCTGCGCAAATCTACCCGTGAACAAAAAAGAACTACCACCCCCTTTCACTGCTGAGGAACAGAAAGCTTTTCTTGACTCATTAAAACCATTTGGTACTGATGTTGTTTGCTGGAGCGCCTTTAGTGGTTATTCTGAGTGCTTCGAGGGATTGGGCCTCAGGACAGAAAAAAAAGCTAAGATCCCCGCATCTCTACGCAACTTATACAACAACCAGAATAATGAGCTGTCACACAGTGACCTTTCTATAATGTGCAGCGACATAGACATTAGGATAAATGCTGAGGAAATTGAATTGGTGGAGAAAAACACACGAAACCAAGCAGGATCTTCACTATGGCAAGAAATGAGAGCTGGAAGAATCACAGCATCTGTTGCAGGAGATTTAATGAAAACAACCATTGAGAAAGCAGCTAAGTCCACCATACAAAAAATATGCAACCCTCAGAGCCAGTCACCAAAGGTTCCTGCCCTGGAGTGGGGGAGACTTAATGAGGACAATGCCTTTGCTCTATATGGAAATGAAATACATCAGACAAAAAACAGTTTCACAAGTAATTGTACCCCCAGTGATTTGTACATTCATAATGTATCTTAACAACACAAGGACAGTAGTCTAAAAAATGTGGACTGTTCATTTCTGAGGATATGCCTTTTTTGGCAGGATCACCTGATGGGATTATCAGGTGTACCTGTTGTGGTTTAGAAGTAGTAGAAATNTCCTCACAGGCCTGTTAAGAATTACTTACATTATTAAGAAACTGCATTATACCATGGACCTAATTAGAGAAGGACATGAAACGCTTAGCTAGATCAAAGGATAATCGGCTTAACGTGAGCTCTTCGCGAAACCATGTGCGTTCGGATCACGTGACCTCCCCTGACCTCCCGTACAGGTAGCGAGCATATCGCAGTTGTCGATGACTTTTTGTGTCATTTGGGCAGGTAGTTCGCGATAACGTGAGTCAATCCTTCGGGTGAATGGGACAATAAACTTATAGAGATTAAGTATAAGTACAATTTGTTCTGTCAATTTGAAAACTTAGTGAGAATTTGTTTGTTCATGGAGGAATTCAAAATGCCCTATGTGGTAAAGGCAATCTTGTTTGTTGCCGTAAAATGAGCATTCAAAATTGCACAACTGTAGTGTAGTATGCTTGTTTTCAGCTATGAACCGATTGCAAAATATTTCTAGTATCAAATTTTTCTCTCTATGTGAGAAATTAGCCTGAGACGCGGCAATAATGAAACCTTCAATTATACCATGAACCTAATTAGAACTAATCTGTTTATTATGTCCATGCTTACATTAGCACTGGCGGGAAATAGTCTAGGAGACTGGTGCAAAAATTGCTCAAAAGGTGGAAAAAGCATGAAACTTGGCACAAATGTTCTTTGGACTATACTGATCATTTTCAAGGGCAGTGCCCAAAATTTCAAAGCGTTGCTTAGCAACCATTGCTAAGGAAGTGATTTACCTTAGTAACAAGCTAATTGGACCTTTCTTGTTCAGTTTAAATGATTTAAAAAGGCTTTTAATAATGTTTAAAGCCATCACTATACTATTTTAAGACATTAAAAACCCAAGTAAACCATTGCAACAGTTGCTAGGCAGCATATATTACCCTAGCAACAAGTATTTAATAGTATATATTTAATAATATATATTTTATAATATATATACAGATATTCTGTAGCATTTTACAAACCCCCAGTTCCTTCACATCTTTCTGTTCTCATGCTAAATATACTAACATGTTTCTTAATTTAAGATAGGTACATAAATAGTGTATGTTTGCACAAACCCAAATACAAATATCTCCGGAGATCTATCAATGGCCACACCTAAATTATCTTTAACAATTTTTACATGTGGACAATCCCAAAAAACGTACAGAATATTTTCCCTAGCAGTACTGCAAAATTCTCAAATTCATAAGATAAGCATAAGTATTGAATATTCTATGATTTATTCTGAATTGTAGCAACTTCCTTCTCTTGTGGTCTGTTTCTTAAATGTTAGTTCCCAATTATCAGTACTCAAGGTTTTTTAAAAATACGTCTGCCATTAACCTACACCTTTATCTGGACATATTATATGGCTGTGGAGGATTTTTTGCAAAAAAAAAATATCTGGATGGTTTGGTAACTTGTTTAATTGAGTCAATTAATTATTGGATTGCTATGCTCAATTTCCTTCCATGGGAAGAGGTAGCCATTCAGATGTTAAGCTCTTTTGGATGCTGAATTAGCCAATTTCTGTATCGACCGACAGTGCAACAAATAACATAACGGGGTAAATCATGCCAGGCTGTAAATTGTTGTCATGTGCAATTATTGATTTACCCATATTCAAATATTGTTTACTGTTTAATTGCAAGTACAACTCCTCAATGGAGTCCAGACTGGAGTTGGGGTCGATGTTACTTGACCCCACACCAAGTTCAGCCTCATCCAATTGCGTTTCCACCTCCATAGGCTGAACCGTGCCACTCTTTCCCAAGCCTGAAATCACGAGTTTTTTGTTCACCATACTCCGAGTTTCAAAACTCGTGCAGGAGGTGTGAAATTCTTGGGAAGGCGCCAAACATTCTTCTCAATCCAGTTTTTAGACGCAAGCCCACTAAATTGTAGTTGGTAGGCCACTTGCTGCAACCATGCCAGAGACGTGGCATACCTACCGGGAGCACGAAGCTCCTTTTTATAAATGGTAGCCATCCCAGCCACCGGTGTTTTAAAGTATGAGCTATGATCTTCCCCAGGCAGAGCCTGGGCCAAATCCTGGACAAACTGGGCTCCAGGGACATCAATAGGGGACCCATGCTGCAATCGTAGTGAAGTTTCCTTCACTACTGGTGCTGCTTCTTTGATGGTATTGGCCATATCTGTAATAACAATGAAAAATAATGATTAGATTTGACATTTTACACACTTGTATTTATCAATGTTAATCGCTTCGGTTGAAGTGACGCAGTGACGCAGGATCCATGATACCATTCATGACAATAGTCACATTGAATCATGAATCTGCCCTGCAAATACAGTATGGTGTCAAATCCTCTTCTTCACTGTCACTCGAGTGCTGAAATTGTTCATCAGAAGCTAATCCATGAGGGTACATTTCTGTCCCTACAGGGCATGAGCCTGTCATGGTTAATTACAAAAATTGCATTTTTTAGCTTCACTCGATACAGATAGCCAGATAATTTCTTTACAATGATGGTGGGTCCTTTCCAAGGTGAACACAATTTTCGTGATTTGCCTTTAGTTGTTGCTGTATCCAAAACATAAACCAAATTCTTTTCAGCATAAGGTCTAAGCAGGATTTTAAGGTCATAGTCACGTTTCACACGTTTCATGCGTTGTTTTTAAATTGGCTCTTGCTGTAATATGAGCTAATTTCATTTTTTGTACTAACTTTGAAATGTATTCACCATAGTCAGTTTCTTTTGATTTCAGATTTGGGAACATAATTTGGACTGGAGTATTGACCTCCCTCCCAAGCATGAGCATATTAGGGGTATACCCCGTACTTCTATTTACAGAAGCACGCAAAGCGCCTGCAATTTGCTGGACATATTTATCCCATTCACCCAGATTTTTACCCAAAAAACACCGTACGGCATCCATCAGGGTACGATTGAACCTTTCAACCTGTCCATTTGCAGTCGGTCTGTACGGAGTAGTGCGTGATTTGTGTATATGTAAAGCCCTACACAAATCCCCGAACAATTGACTTTCAAAATTCCGTCCCTGATCAGAAAAAAGTTGATAGGGATATCCGAACCTAGAAAAGAAACAGTCAATTGCTGCTTTCGCAGTAACTTCAGCCGTTTGAGAAGGCAACGCACTCTACTGACTTTGTGAATTGATCAACCATGACCAAACAATGCTCATTACCTTTTGATGTTTTAGGTAGCGGTCCCATGATATCAATATGAACCCGTACCATCGGAGCACCTGCAACATATTTAGTCTGGGGGACTTTTCCGTAACACCCTTTTTTCTTATTTTTATTACAGATGTCACAACTCAGGACATAATTGGCTATTTCTTTGCTCATATGGGGCCAGTAGAATTTTTCTTTGATTTTTGTTTTTGTTCTAGCCACTCCTTGGTGACCAGCTGAAGGGATATCATGATGTAATTTGAAAACAGATTTTTTTAATGATTCCGGGATGACTAATTTTAGATCTTTGCTTTCCTCTTCAGTTTTGAAAATAACTCCATGATGTATTTTGAATAATTCTTTATTCAGCAAGTAAGTTTTGGATATTGGGCTTGACCGGAAGAGTGCACCCTGATCGGGGGTATTCCCATTGTATAACCACTCTCGTAAAATGTTTAGCTCAGGGTCTTTTGCTTGCTCAGTTTTTAATTTTTCCATAGAAAAAACCCAACACTGAGGAATATCCGGGTTTGAATTTGACTTCGCCTCCGGACCACACGCATTTATTTCTACATGAGATTCCTCAGGTTGCAGAGCGACATCGGTAGAGAGGGCTACAATTTTTTCTAGAATACAATAGAAAAGATGTTCCGCACCCGTTTCTCGTCCCAGATTGACTGTATTTAATGAGGATGTCAGATCGCGTTGACTTTTTGTAGATTTACCAGTAAATTTGGATGACAATTTTTTCTTTTCTGTTAAATTGACTGCTTCGTCGACGTCACCGAAAAAACTCCCCCAGTTTTCATGGGCTCTGACGCAATAACTACATCCTCCGCAAGGTAAATTTTCCGGCTTTATTCCAGCAATATACTCGTTACACGGTGCCAAACGGTCGGGTATTCTAGACAAAGAATCAGCATTGCTATGCTTAGCTCCGGCACGATGTTGTACGATCATATTGAATTGCGAAAGCTCTTCTATCCACCTCGCGAGTTGACCTTGAGGCTCCTTAAACCTCAATAACCACGTCAGACTTGAATGATCGGTGCGAACGATAAGTATTCGGCCCAAAAGATAATACCTGAATTGTCTGGTAAATCTCACGATAGCCAAAAGCTCTTTTCGCGTGGTGCAATAATTCTTTTGTTCGGGAGTTAACGCGTAGCTGCCGTAGGCGATTACTTTCTCCTCGCCGTTTTGCACTTGTATTAACTCTACACCAAACGAGTGATTTGAAGCGTCGGTATCTAAAATAAATGGATCTTTTGCGTTTGGTTACGATAAGACTGGTGGTGTAGTCAATGCCGTTTTGAGCGCTTCGAAAGATTGAGCTTGATCTGGTCCCCATTCAAAGGCATGTTTACCTTTAATTTTGCTCAGAGGATGGGATATTTCCGCAAATTTTTTTATAAAAGTCCGGTGATAATTTGCCAATCCTAAGAACCTTTCAACGTCCTTAGGACAAGTGGGTTGTGGCCAAGAAGTTACAACTTCAATATCCTTAGGGCTCATTTTCATGGTGTTATTAGAAACAATCCGCCCCAGGAATTCAACTTCTTTTTGAAACAAAACGCACTTTTTTGGATTTAATTGGATACCGAACTGGCGAAATCTTCCCAAAGCCTCTCTCAATTTTTCTAAATGATTTTCAAATGACTTCCAAATTACCAAAATATCGTCCAAAAATGCCAAAACTGTTTTCCATGTCAACCCCTTCATAAGTAAATTGACTACTCGGGAGAAAGCCGCAGGAGCATTGGTCAAGCCGAAACCCATACGGACGTGTTCGAATAATCCGTATTTCGTGATAAAAGTCGTTTTATGCCTATCCTCGGGTTTAATTTAGACTTGCCAATACGCAGAATTGGCATCTCACTTTGAAAACCAGATGTTTCCCGACAGCGTGTCTTTGCAATCTTCCATTAATGGTAATGGATACAGTAGTTCGCTACAAATCTAAGTTGCGAGATGTTGGTTTGGACAAGTGCCCATACAAAGAGCCTGGAGACAGATGGATCAATGACCCAAAGCAGTGGCCTCCTCTTGGACATGCTGACATATTTTATTATTTGATAGAATCCCCGAGTAGGTTTTTTTATACATAAGTAGCAGATCTGTGAAAACCTTTAATATTTTTTATGTTGATACAAATGCAAGCTAGCAGCTTTTATAAAGCACAGATCAACATGCTAGTTTAGGGGCGTGTAGATAAGATATTGCTGATTTCTTTAATTTTGATAGATTTAAACTATTTAATTTTTATTTTATTTTATTTTATTTTATTTTAATGAACTGAAAACCTTAATAACGGAAGTATTTAAGGGTGTTGTCAAAGACCAAAAGTTTCCTTTTAATTTTTGGGAATATATGTCTCTTTGATTGAATTCTGATTTATATGTATGTATACATTGCAATTTTTGTATCTACACCCGAGAAGCTATGAAAAACTACAAATCATTAGACGCACACAAATTCTTTGTGGCTGGATGGGTGCAAACAGTCTTTCATATCAAGACATGCAATGGAGACTTTATTATGAGAGCTGACGTCCGATCATCATGGCGAGTAACAGATGAACCCCACCAACTATGGATAGCTGTGAGGAAGGATGGTCAGGTCATTGCTGCACACTGTGACTGTATGGCAGGGTAAGCAAGTCACTTCAGCTACATCAGTGATGTTTAATGGTTAAAATATTGACCAACCTTAATAAGTACATTTTCATCAGATCAAATTTTCAGCAAGCACCCAACTGGTTAAAAGGGACAAAGATGGATCACTCCTGTTAGATCAATCTAGGTATAGGAACATAGTCTAATTTTCACATCTGTTCATATCGAAAAGCCTTGGTTAAAAATGAGAGTCATTCTTGTATGTTGTTAGCCTGTAAAATTGCTCCTAGTGCTCTTGCATGTCACACTTAATCCATGCCATTTATGCTTTTGTAACATATCCATTTCAGATTAGGTGAAAGTTGTTCCCATGTGGGGGCATTGCTTTACAAGATAGAGGCAGCCGTTAGACTTGGATATACAACATCAGCATGCACAGATGAACCCTGTGTCTGGAATGAGTGCTTTGTGAAGAATGTTGAGCCTGCTCCCATTGCTGAAATTAACTTCTACAGTGCCACAGCAAAATAAAAGCTGCGCAAATCTACCCGTGNGTCACCCGCAGATTGTGTGGTGACTAGTGTTAAGAGATGATAGTTACATTCAGACCATGACTTCCAAATTGGCATCATTTTGGAAAAAGTGCATTTTGCCAGAGCTTCTTACAAGGCGTATTGGAAATGTAAATGTATCAGTAATGCCATCCACCAGCAAACTTGTGTATTGCTATTGCAAGTCATCAAAGGAAGATAGGGACATGGTAGCATGTGACAAATGTGACAATTGGTTCCATTTAGACTGTTTAAAATTAAAGCGACTGCCTAAAGCAAGGTTGTGGTATTGCAAGGAGTGTAGAAGTGCCAAGAAACATAAAACTGTTTAGATGTTCAGCTTTGATGAATGCAATGCACTTATTTCTTTTTTTTTTTTTATTTTAATATATGTTTCATGCAGTAGGCAATTTGAAAATATATTTGTATTGCACTGTACACTAAAACTGTACATTACTTTGACTGTACAGCAAGCCTGTGGGTCTTCTTCTGTGACATGCATGTTTATTACACTGTATATAATCTGACCAAAGATAATAAAGTTTGATAAAAAAATTGATTTTTACAACTATTTAATTACTCTATATTTGTTGCTGAATTCTGAGATAATTAGTATCAGAATAATTGCTTTAAAGTTTTTTTATGATGATAACCAAAAGGCATAGCTAGAAATTCACCTTTCTGTGCTTCACAGTTCAAAAATTACCACAAAACTGCTGAAAAACATGGAAAACGAATGACAAATAATTTTATACAAGACATAAGCTCCATGTATTTCGTGAAAGTTAATATAAAGTCTATTTTCCCTGATCAACATTTAAATCAAAGCAAAATATTATTACAAGTATATAGTTTTTCTGGTTGATAAAATTAACACAAGCTGAGGTTATATACTGACACTAATAAATAAAGTGAACACCGCAACACCGATCTTTTTCTTCCACCTAAATCACCTGTAAAGCTCTTCTGACAGGGAGAAATCCAGGTAAGTCCCATTCAGGTGCTGTCAGTGACAAGATTCCAGAGATATATCTGATAAAAGATAATATCAGGTGTAAACTGTAATTGCAGCCCGTTGGAGAACGGTTGGCTTTATCGCTGATAAAATCACCTGCAGCTTTAGAAAATCCTCCTGAGGCCCATGACTGACGCTAAAAACCCTAGTGAATATGGCCAAGTGGTTGTCACAATTAATTGTCCTCTGGTCTGTTTGATATTAACGATCAAAGTTCGCCAATTTAACATTGAGAGTAATGGGCGCCAGCCAATGTTTTACCCTAGTCGGCCATCTTGTGACGTCATGCCGACTGTAACTGTTATGTAGCTTATTTTTGTGTTAACACGTGACTACAGTCTAATTTGATATAATTTCTGAAAAACCGGGATCTTATTTTTGCATTCCATTTTTCTTTTCATTTATTTATGAGAACTTTTTGAACGGACTATAACTTTCTTTTTGGTGATGTGACTGGCTGGTGAATGAACCGCCCATCACGGTCTGTTCTGCTGTTTATTTATTTTTTGGATTTTTCTTCGGCGGACTATCACCTAGGTGATGTTGTTAGCACTAACAGCTAATGACAGTCTGTACGAATATTTCAACTGGAATCCACCTTATTTTATTTATCGAGAGGAATTTTGAGTGTGTACATGGGCAAACATGTATTTATAAGTAGCTCCTTTCAAATAAAAGTGGGGGAATGTTGTGTTCGTGCATTTTCCTACCTTCACCCGGTGTGCTCTCCCTGCGCGGAGAGTGTGCAATTACGGTAAGTAATGCGCACACCAGGTGGAGAGTCCAACTTCCCTGCCTGATCCCGGTGAGTACAACTCAACCACAGCTACCGTGCAGACGTGTACGTACGAAAATAATCAGAATTGAGACACAATACACAGTGATCTACAATCTCACTCCGTAAGTTCCATTTCATTTCAGCTACATCGCAGCGAAAACTAAGCTATAGGCCCGCAAATATACAAGTTACGAATGCCTCGTCGCCAATAAAGTATTCACTGTGTCTACTTACTGAATTGGTGAGTGATCGCTGGCTATTGTTATGCTCTTTGATTGAATGGTAGATGGATCGTCAATCTGGACACGTCCAGTACGGAGTGTAGAATCTTGACAATTGACTTTGTGACAGTTGTGATGTCACAATAGTGACGATCTCCTGCAGGGGGCGTGCTGTCCCCACCTGGCCTAGCTCACTCACCTGAGGTGGCCTATCTTGGCACATGGAGAGCAGACCAGGTGGAGGAAGGAAAAAAACTCCGATCACAACAGGACAGAGATTGTGGGATAATGCTGAACATATTTGATAAAGAAAGAGATATGATCCGACCGACGTGTAGGTTTATGGAGCAACTGTTTATGTTACTGTGATCTCAAAGCTGCAGCACCAGAAGTGAACATAAAGTTTAGCAATCGCTGACAGAAATTACAGGATCTACTGTCGGAATGGAAGCCATGTTAGCTATAGGGCAGTCTAGACGAGGTGTAAATCCAAGATCAGGACAGGTGACCGTACAGACACAACCTCCATTAGCTGGACAGGAAACAAATCCAACATCAGCTCCACACCCTCCTGTTTTCTTAGACAAGGCAGAAGGTGTGCATTCCTTTAGTGCTAAACTGGGATATGATAGAGAAATAACCTACATAACTGGGTTAGCCATAGATAATGAACACATGTTTGTTGTGGATTATAAAAACAACAGAACAAAAGTTTTCACACACGAAGGGCAATTTAAGTTTGTCATTAAAGTAAACTATCCATATGATGTGGCTGTGTCACAGACTGGTCACCTGTATATAACATCAGAGGGTGACAGTTGTGTCCAAGTGTACTCCACCAAAGGTCAGCAGGTGATAACCATGGGTCGGCGTCTACTGGAGTTTCCACAAGGTATTACACTGAACAGACAAGGTCATGTGATGGTTTATGACACTGGAAAGAAGTCCATCTTGACATTCCATGCAGACAGTGGACAGCTCCTGAACACTATTCCAATCAGTATGTGTGGATACCCAGTGTACATCACAGTGAACAGTGTGAATGATAACATTGTGATATCAGACTGGGGCAGTGACACGTGGGGACCCTGTGTACATGTGCTGTCACCTACTGGTGATCATCTGTACCAGTATGACGGCAGCAGAGAAGGCAGTGAACTGAGGTTACCACAAGGAGTGTGCACAGACAGCTATGGTCACATCTTCATTGCTGACTGGGATAACCACAGTATAGTGGCACTGAGTCCACAGGGACAGTTTATCAGATACATTGTCACTGAGGATGATGGGTTGAAGTTTCCCCAGGCAGTAGTCATCAACCCTGCAGGTCAACTGGTGGTGGGAGAGGATGGTGGCAATGTTAAGACATTCAAGTACATCCAACTGAAACAAGGTGAGTAACATGTATTAACTGTGGATGGATATGTTTATTACATGTAAAAACATTTGAAAGTTAATTAGTCTTACAATGTTTTTATCCATGAATATGCTTGCCTTTATTTCATTAAAAAACAGCATATATTTAAATTTAGTGAGCACACAGCTGATGTTTAGTAAAAATGTAAGAAGTTTTCTATAGTACTTTACTGTTTCTGACCAATTTCAATGAACCCATTAGTGATTAGGATTTTGAATATGGATGAAGGACTCTTTTCAATGGAATTTATAATATGCTTCATTTTAATTAAGGTAGCTCGGTCGTTACGTAATTTGACGATTTGCGCAATTTCAGCTCATCGTCAATCGTCTCTAACGACACTTCAGTCTGTTTAATCAATTTGAGGAAATAAAACAATTATCTATAAGAAAAACACACATTATCAACTTGTCTGTAACTCTGTATGATCGATACAGATTTTGGACAACGCTTGTCGACTATGATTCCATACGACAACTGTAGCCGTTCATAGACTTGCCCTTCAAGAAATCGTCGGAATAGCTCCTTTTTCAAATTGAACTGGCACTACAAAATGTATGACAGCTAAAGATCACCAATTATGCACGTAGGTGCTATATCATGTAAAGAATAAGTGTTTTAAATTCCAATCAAAGCGGCTGCGTACATTTTCAGGTAGAACGCCCTGAATGTGCTGCACAAAACCGTAGCTTAGATTTCGACGAAAACCAGAAGTGCGTCGTAACGCCACTCATTTGGACCTAGAGAAATTTGGCCTGAGAAATATTTCGTAGCTTATACAAATGTTCAGAAAATGGCCATAGAGCTTGAAGGAAATTCACTAATCAAAATTGAAACTGCATTATATTATACAGAAAAATTGTGCATTTCTGACCTTGACTTGTCAGTGTAAACAAAGTGTACTGAACGCACCGCAAGCAAGCACGTGAATGCCGCATTTGATACTTTGTATCAGACGCTTCATTTTACTTGAAAACACAGTGTTTACGATGTCACATTCATGTTATATTTATTAATAAATGACAACGGCAATAAACTATTTTCATATGCATGAGCATTTTCCTTATTACTCTCTTGAAAACTCTTTTGTTGGTTAAGTTAATGGCTTACACCTCATCAGTATGACAAATCTGAAAATAGCTGAGTATACTCATTTCAACCGTTAAACATAATGAAAGTTTTAAATGTACTTAGATGTCTCTCCACGCATACACACACTCACACACACACAAAAAAGAAATCATAAAAAATAACGATTTAGTGAAAGACACCCATTTTCCCGTTGATTTGAATGGGGACTAGTGCGTCACGTAGGGTGTAATGCACTTCAACTTGGCGTGGTTCTCTTATGACCCCCAATTTTTTTGGTAAAATTTAAATGTACTTGGAGGCCTATTTACACCAAATTTAAAAAAAAATTCGAACGTCAGAAAGTCATAAAAAATAGTGCTATAGTGAAAAAACACCCATTTTCCCATTGATTTGAATGGGGACTAGTGCGATATGCAGGGTGTATCATATTTGGGGCTAGTTCTCTTATTTGGTCGGTGACCCCCAATTTTTTTTGCAAATTTTTAATGTACTTGGGTGTCTCTTCAAACAAAAAAAATTATAAAAAATTCGAACGTTGGAACATGTAACGACCGATCTACCTTAACAAGTCACAAGAAAAACATTTTATATGGTTTAATGCCTGAACATGAATTTCTTAGTTTTATGGTAAGCACACAGCTAGGCATATAAAAAATGTACGTAGAGTGTAGAAACTTTTTACTGTTACTGACCAATTTCCATGAACCCATTAGAATTATGTAAAAATGTACTTGGTCTGCTCTTAATTTAAAAAAAAAAAAATAAAAGTTGATAAAATTCCTTCTGAACAGTCTATAAGCCAGGCAGATTTCAATATAATAATATGTGTATTTGAAGGTTAAAAAGTTATTAACTAAAGAAAAAACTTCATGTTATAATCATAATATTTAGTGACCTGCGCTCTGTGAGTGATTTTCTAGTTTTTATCTAGAAAAACTCTAAAAATTTTATCCCACGTCTTAGTTTTATATAATTATGTTTCACATATACAAAATATATAACAATGCTTTTTTTAATGGCAAAATTTCTTACACTGCTGCAGCACATCATCTACTAGTTGCAACTTTTATATCTTTTTTTTATTTATTTATTTTTTATCGTCCCTGTGATTCATCAGCCGAAATTCTGCTTTTTTTTCGATTAAGTCTTATCATAAGAATTATTATTCTGTGTTGTTAATTTGAGGATGGTATTGTGCAATAACAGTACAATTTACAACATCTGCACAGTGCATGTGTCCTGTCAGATACCAGTAATGATACATTACAGATGTGTATGCCACTGATAACTACCATGTAAAACTATAAAGTTTATTTCTTTATCCACTTTGTATTTGGAACAATATGGTGATGTTTGGTTGATTTTTGTAGCAGCAAAAGCAATGAAGATGGTTGAGCAGGGACAAAACCAACAGAATGAGCCAACTCCACAACCCAAGTTTAGCAACCAATGCTGTGTCAATGACACCTCAGATGAAGTTGAGGTGAGGCTTTAATTATTCTATAAGTATTGTGTGTGTGTGTGTGTGTGTTCTTGATAAATTTTAGACATAGTTTCAATGTCGTAGATGATTGCTGACAACTGTGTAAAGTTGTAATTGGTCACTGCCTTTATTGTGCCACAAGCGTAGGCGCTGGCGGTACACATGGTGTTAGTCCCGACCCGCCTGTTCCGCCGGCTCCGCTGCCATGTCATCATTACCGCTTCTCCTCCTGGACTACAAGGGCCTGCGTACCTATCTTTTGGATTAGGTCACCTATAATCTCAACTCGTTCCACGTAAAATTTGGGCTTCGTCGGTGCTGGGGTCTAGGTGTGGCACTCATTGCAATGCACCCTTGTCCAAAATTGGCAAAATTAAATGCCAATTATCTACCATACGGAAGGAATTATGGTAAAAATTTCTACAGATTCTACAGACCAAAAGTCATATGTGGAGATTTCAAATATGCCCTTGTATTTGACCTTTGACCTTTGTTTCAAGGTCAAACGGGCCACAATTTT